ATATATAATATAATATTTAATTTTTATTTTAATAAAATTACATTGATCATAATTCAAAAATAAAATATATTTGCAATCAAAAAAAAAAAAATTGTTAACACAATATATATTTATTTGTTATTGTTAACACAATATATATATATATTTTTTTTTGTAAAAAGATTATAGTTATATTATATTAAAATTATAATAATTAAAATTATAAATCTTAATAATATTTAATTTAAAATTGTTTATATGAATTAATCTTTGTTATTTAGTAAAAAATATGAATGTATTTTCATTTATTTTGATAAAATAAAAAGATTGAAATAAAATGATACATATAAGTAAAATTTGAAAAAATAAATTTGGATAAATTAAAAATAAATTTAGTTCTCAAGTAGATTTTAATTTAATATATAGTTCGATTTGTTTATATTATTGCATAACTATTTACTAGGAGAAAAGATTATAAAACCAATAGTTTTTTTCTGAGAATTAATTATTATTTATTTTCACTTTTTCATAAAGTTGCTAAAAAAAATCTGATTATTAAAAATATAAAAGAAAGTAATAATAATAATGAAATTTACAAATGAAAATAGGGAAAATGACGAGTATTCTATTTACATTTTATTATAATTATAAAGCAAGAATTTTATCTAGATAATATAATAAAATATAATAAAATATTGTTATTTCTTCCATTTTCATTTCTAAATGCCATTTAGCAACATTACTTTTTCCTATTTTTTTAAATGTTAAACTTTTTTTAACAATTCTATTTATATATTAATTTAATTTTTTTATTTAGTTTTAAAAATCTTATTTATTTTTCATTTGTATTAAATCATATGTTTAGTTACTCGTTTCAAAAATTATATTTTTGTTTAAAAAATTATTAACTTAATTTACATTAATATTTTCTTAAATGAATATAAATACTTTAAATATATAACCTCAAAGATATTCGAAGTTTATTATTTTTTATATATTAGATATTGTTACTATTAGTATTATAATTATAATATTTATTTATATATGAATATTAAAATATTATATTATGTTTTATATATATATATTTTATAAAATTGCAATATTATATTATATTATATATTTAAATCAATTTTTCTAGAAAAATCTTAATTATATTCTTGTTATTTTAAAAACTTGTCAAATTCAAAATACAGGAAAAATAATCC